CAGGGTAATGTAATTAATTTTATTGAATCCAACTAACGAAAAAAGTAAGGGGTCTTATGTTTCGGATTTACAATTGTTTTATTTTGACTCACTTATTTCGATAATTTTTATATTTCAAATATTTTCAGGTATACATTGAAGGATACTTGGTATAAGTTGTAAAGAATATGAAGTTGTTTCTTTATTTTGTGTATGTGTGTATTTTTTGTGTTCCGTCTTTTGTAAAGTTAACTAATTATACATAATTATGATGATTTTGGGTATGGAATGATGGTTGTTTTGGTGGTTTGGGTATGTAGTGATGATTGTAAGTTTTGTAGACAGGTTTATATTTTTCTGTATATCTATTTTTAAAAGAAATTCTGCATAAATTTCTTGAAATTAGTAGGGATTAACTTGATGTTTTGGTGGTTGGATATGTGTTGATGATTGAATATGTATTAATTATTGTAGTGGTATGGTAAATTATGATAACGTTATGGTAAATTAGAGTTTTAATCTAATTTTTCGTTACGCCGTGCCTTCAGGCACGGGCAATTACTAGTATGGTTAATATTGTGTAGTAACCATTGCTGTAGGTGAAAACTGAGTATGTTGTGCTTTTTGAACAACACTAGTAAAAAAATTTTCCCTTTTTAGTAAAGCATGAAGCTCTTCAAGAGAAAGAGGATGAGATCTAGTTCTAATTGCTGTTCTGAAAGAGTTGTACTCTTGTGGCAAGCCATTCAACGTATACAATATGATATCTTCTTCTTCAACAAATACTGAGACTGCTACTAATTTATCACAAATTACTTTAATTTTATGCACATAATCATCAACTGAATCTGTTCATTTGGTAATAGATTACAGACTGATTTTGAGTTGAAGAACATTTGCTCGTGACTGTGAGGAGAATCGTCTTTCCAGAGCTGACCAGACATCTTGATGTATTATAACCTACAACATGCGCAATTGCTGATGGCGAAAAAGTAGCATTAATCAGTGTCATTAAGGCTTGATCTTGAATCTTCCATTGTTGATAACTTGGATCAATCTCTGTGGTAGGAGCTCTAGTTTCATCTGATAAAAACTTATGAGGACAAGGATTTGATCTATCAAGAAAACTTAGCAAAGAGTGAGCTCGTAACAGTGATGAGATCTAAAATTTCCAAGAAATATAGTTCGTGGAGTCTAAACGAAGAGAAATCAAATTGCAAATATTAGACAAAAGATATATGAGAGACTGGAAAGGAAGGTTTGATGAAGTAGTTGTAGAAACTGGTGGAATAATTGAAGCTGAAGATGATGTGTTTGCCATTGATGAAGACTTTCGTCTCTTATGGCTCGAATACCATGATGACTTTTACTGATAGAAAAAAATACAGAGGACAAAATGAAATTCAGATCTAAATTTCCATTGTAAAAACTTGACAGTTTACAAGAGTATGCCTTCAGTATTTATAAGAAGACATTGAGAATACAGTTGGAATCTAACAAAATGCCAACATGGCAATATCAGTTGATTAGTTAATCAGTTAGATTATTTTCTGATTATCATACAAATCTCTATCTCCACACGATTTAATTTTTCATTCATTATCAAACTACTAAATTCACTCCTTCCATATCTACCTCATTAGTAACTAAACTCACCTTATGTTTCATACACCTTATTAATACTTAAACTCACTTTTTCTATGTACACCCTTTTTATGAAAGAAGTCATTGTAAGAAAAATATATATATATATATAATGAAAGCAGACAATTAGTTTAAATGCACAAATATATTTACAAAAGAAAAAAGAACCAACCAAAAACGAAACAAATAAAAAAAACAAGGATGCTGAAACAAGAAAAAAGAAAAGAATGAAACAAGAAAAAAGAAGAAGAAAAAAGCAGATTGAAACAAAAAAACATAAAAGAACAAGTTTTTGTTAGAATTCAGCTAATACGTACTTTTATAATAATCAGTTAGATTACAATTTTTTATTTTTTAATAATTTTCATGCAATTTTTAATTTTTAGATAATTTTTTTTCTATTTTAGGAAAAAAATTCAAAAAATCAATAATAAATCATAGGAGAGTCTGAATTCAGTGCCGCAAAATTTTTAGACTCTAGATAATATTAATATCAAATCATTGTTGATTCCGAATTCAGCGCTGCTATTTTTTTTTAACTTCATATAATACTTAATTTTTTTTAATATGTTGGATTGCAAAATTCTACTATTTAATAATTTTCATGCAATTTTTAATTCTTTAATATTCCCTTTTTTCCGTTTTAGAAAAAAATTCAAAAAATTAATAACAAATAAGAAGAGAGTCTGAATTCAACGCAACCAATTTTTTTAAACTCTGGATAATACGCACTTTCATTTTAATTAGTTAGATTGTAATTTTATATTTTTTTTAATACTTTTTCTACAGTTTTTATGTTTTGATAATCCTCTTTCTTCCTTTTTAGATAAAAATTTTAAAAATTAATAATCAATCATAGGAGAGTTCGAATTCACCGCCGTCATTTTTTTTAAACTTCAGACATTACGTACTTTTATTTTAATCAATAATTTTCTATTTTTGAATAATTTTCAGTAATTTTAAATTTTTTAAATACTTTTTTTCTATTTTTAAGAAAAATTTTAAAAAATAATAATAAATCATAAAAAAATCTGAATTCATTACCGTCAATTTTTTTATCCATCATATCCTTTGCTGCAAAATCCTTCTTCTCCGCTTGCCTTCTGAACTTGTGCTCATCAAGCACATGATCATTTAGAACCTATCAAATTTCTTGCACAAAGACTTCATTCGTTTCACGTACTCCTGTAAGTCCAAGAAGTTGATCCAAGGTACCTAATCTCCGATGTTTAACACACCATTAAGCAAGACGAACTCATCCAACATTTCCCGAAATTCTTCAAGCGTAACAGTTTCATTTTCACATTTTGCATTGCTAACATACTTCTTATATTCAACACAATTCTACTTATGATGCTAAGAGTGAAATATGAGATATAATCTCTAAGGTGAACTGGCTTTCCAGACAATGCATATAGACGTGACATAAAAGCTTGTCTTTCTTCATCACGAATATATTCAAATCACTCGGGGAGTTTCGAGCTGAATAGCTCAGTGAGGAAAATTTTACGGCCTTGGCGCCAGTATGGACCATAAGGGGCCCATACTCCATAGTAAGTTGCAGTAGTTAAAAGTTGTATACTTGCCAGCTGCATTTAACGATCGAGAGGCAAAGAGGTGATCATGTGTTTTCAAGAATTGCTTTGTCATTTCAGTAGAAGAGGCGACTACAACGGGAAAGGAACCAAACTTGAGCTGCATTACCTGTCCATGTGTTTTGGGATTGTTTGTGAAGGGACTGGTGGGGGAGGGGACCGATGAGGTTGAGGTTGCCGATGATTGGCCAAGGTTTGGGACCTGGTGGGAATTTTTGTTTGTGGTGTCGATAATTGGGTAATAAAAACACTAATGCAGCTGCCAATGCCACAGCCCACAAAACCCAAGCAGTAGCCTCCGTTTTTGGAGATCGATTGTTTACTTTGTTATGGTAGTTTTTAGAGAGCATTGGAGTGATGGGGGTTCCTGCATGTATATATAGTTGAGTGTGCTAAAACAAATACTTATTTTGATACAGTCGGAGAATAAGAATTATACAAATTGCAGATTTCATTGTATATCTTATGTGTGTTTTGAGGATGAGTTTTGTTTAATGGCTAATTACAAACCTTTAATTTTAGGATTGCTAATCTCGTACTTATATTTCTGATCTCTTGGTGATGTGTATTTATTTTCAATAATAATAAGATCTCGTGTAGCTAGTTGCCTGTACAAAACATTACATCACTTTTGTTTTATTTTTATTTTTTAATTTGGGGTTTAGGTGAGTACATGAGCTTGGCCAATACTTGGGAGTTGCCGTTCAGCTTTGACTTAATAGAACTCTTACCACTCTTCATAGTCTCTGTCCTCGTTACTAATAAAGAACAGAATCTCAGAAATAGATTAAACTCACCTGTGCATCGAACCATTGATTAATAGTAAATCATTCTGTGTACATATAGAATTCATTAACTACATTGATGATGTCACTTAATTTGAAATCATCAGAGAATATAAAAACTTCCAAGGTATTCGATCTTCGATATTCAACACACCATTAAATAAGAACAACTCAAAATCTCCAACAGTAACTGTTTCATTTTCATTGCTTGATTCACTAAAATACTTGCTATCAAGCACAATTTTGCTTATGACAAATTTCAGAAATGAACTTTTAAGGGAACTGGTTTTTCACTTCCAGACAATGCAAATAGACTGGTGTGTGTGAAATAAAGAGAAAAAGAAAGGAGGTGGGACAATGGTGGCTACTCGTGGCACACCAGTCCACCACAAATGAGTTGTCAACTATTTATTGGATGATTTACGGGCAATTCAGACAGAATTTACTCCCTAAATTCAATAATTAGTGTACAAATTTGAAGGTGAACCATGTACATGATTTTAACTGTTACTATTTTAACATTTCAAATTTTACTCTCCTGCAAGAGTCTTGACTTACCTAATACATATTGGTTATAGTTGTAATAGGTTTTAAATGATTGTGGTACGATGGCATTGTTGAATAATTCTAAATCTTATGAAGAAAGACAAATTTTAAATTCCGAATTTTTTTTTTTTAGAATAGTGAAAAATAAATTTCCACTAGCTCAAAATTCACAACCTCAATTTGCCCACATGCATAATTTTAGAATAAAAGTCTTCCAAAATATATCTCTTTAGTATGTTACAAGAACTTCCAAGGATGTTATAAGAAGCATCCATTTATTTATTCTGCATAGAAAAAAGATAAAGAGTGTCTTACAGAAATACCATACTGAAGTAAACTTCAATTTGCCCTCTTTCAAACGACCCAACTTCAATTTAATATCGCAGTACTCTAACAAATCCTTAATGCATAACAACAAAGAACTATTATTCATGAAATCAGTGTGGATGCTGATAAAGATGAGCTGAAAGTCTTGGCTCCAAGACTGCAACAAGTGGGAACTTCCGAATTGTAGTGAGTCCAAAAACTTCCTCCATGCTTAAATTTTCTTCCTTCATATTACCAGGTAACTTCCAATTGAATCCGTGTAACATGTTGGCCAAACTCGACTGGATCATCTTCAGTCCAAGACTGTAACCCGGGCACATCCTCCGCCCCGAGCCAAAGGGCAATAGCTCAAAACTCTGCCCCTTTACATCAATTCCCTTCCCTAAAAACCTCTCGGGCCTGAATTCTTCCGGTTCATCCCATAGTGAGGGGTCCCTTCCTATACTCCATGTGTTAATGAAGACTCTAGTCCCTTTGCGAATGTTATAACCGGCTACGTTGCAGTCTTCAAGTGCTAAATGTGGTGCAAGCAGTACAACCACTGGATGTAACCTCATTGTCTCTTTTATGATTGCATCCATGTAAGGAAGTTGGGGTATGTCTCTCTCTTCCACCCATCTGTCTTTCCCAACTATTCTATCGAGTTCTTCGGTTGCCTTTTTGATTATGTGTGGATGTTTCACAAGTTCCGACATTGTCCATTCAAGACTATTAAGGGAGGTATCCGTGCCACCGGCCATTAGGTCCTGACAATGAGTGAACAATATTTACAATACAAAAAGTTTGGGTAAATTACATATACCTCGCCTGAAGTTTTTTTAAATAACAACTAGACTCCCTCCTATTTAAAAAATAACACTGGACTCCCATCTAATTTGAGTATATGTAACAAATTAACCCAACAGTTAATTTGTCGTCAAAGAGACGTCAAAATTTACTGACGTAAACAACCTATTTTTTTAAAATACCAATATTGCCCTTATATAGGTTATAACCAAACTAAATTTCTTGTCAAATTATCCATTATCCATATCCTTGTTATAGACAACCTAACATTGGTTGCCAAACAAATATACAATCTGTACTCCCTCCTCAAATATCTAATCTCTAGCTCTCACTCTCTGGTTCTCTCTCAAGACTCTATTGATACCGTCTCCCTACCAAAGATCCCACCACCAGAAACCACCCCCACCCCAAGCTCCGACTAAACCACGGGAGTGGTGGTTCTATTCGGGTGGGTGAGCCACAGGGTAGGTGGTTCTGTTCGGGTTTTTGATGGGTCGGTTTTAGGAGCTTATAGGTGGGGTTTGATTGGGTTTTGATGGGTGGTACTTCGGGTTTGAGGCTGACAATTCAGTGGTGGTGGTAATAGTTGGGTCTGAGGCCGGGGGAGCAGTGGTGGTGTTGTAGCGGTGTCGCGGTGTAGTTTTGGCTTGGGTATTACATTTGTGGAGCTTGTTTATTGCCTTTTGGGGTGTATGGTGGTGGCAAAGGGGACTTGGGTTTGTGGTTTTGGGTAGGGGATTGAGGACAATAGTGATGGTGGATTTGGGTGGTTTTGTTGTGTTTTTGATTTTGGTTAAATAATCATTTTCCATTCCTTTCTTTTTTAATCATTATTCATTCCCTTTTTTTTTTTTCGTGATTATTCTATGGAACTTAATAATTGGCTACAGTAATTTTTAAGGAGCGTAAAAAAAATTAAATTTAAAACTTCAAAATTTTCACAAAAACAGACTCAATCATTAGACCACGCATTGTGCTGAAGAAAATGGACCCAAATAAATATTCATTTACCTGTGTAAAAGCCTTGACGCCATCATTATGGAGCTTAACCTCAAGATCAGGGTCATCAGCTAACAGCAGCAGCACATCCACCATATCCTTTGCCACAAAATCCTTCTTCTCCCTTGCCCTTTTGGCCCTGTGCTCATCAAACACATGATCATAAAACCTATCAAATTTCTTGCACAAAGCTTTCATTCGTTTCACATACCCCTGCAAGTCCAAGAAATTAATCCAAGGTATCCAATCTCCAATATTCAAAACACCATTCAGTAGGAACAGCTCATCCAACAATTCCTGAAATTCTTCATGCGTAATGATTTCATTTTCATCTTTCAATTCACCAACGTATGACTTGCCCAGTACAATTCTGCTCAAGATGCTAAGAGTGTAACGTAAGAGGTGATCTTTAAGCATGATTGGCTTTCCACACACTGCATATAGATGTGACATGAAAGCTTGCCTTTCTTCAACACGAATATATTCATATGACTCAAGCCTTTTCGAGCTAAACAGCTCAGTGAGTAAGATTTTGCGGCCTTGGCGCCAGTATGGTCCATAAGGGGACCAGGTTATGTTAGAGTAGTTGTAAGTGGTGTACTTTCCGGCTGCCATTTCTGGCCGAGAGGCAAAGATGTGATCATGTGTTTTTAAGAATTGCTTTGCCATTTCAGCAGATGAGGCCACTACGACGGGGAAGAAACCGAACTTGAGCTGCATTAACTGCCCATATTTTTGGGACAGTTTGTGGAGGGATTTGTGGGGGAGGGGGCCGATGAGGTTGAGGTTGCCGATGATCGGCCAAGGCTTTGGACCTGGCGGAGATTTCTGGTGGTGAGAATTGAGAATTTTTGAGAAAATATACAATGTAGCTAGGAATGCCATGGCCAGAAAAACCCAAGCAGGTGCTTCCATGGTGGTTAATTTTGACAGTGTGGACTGATTGCTTGTTGGGTTGTGGGGGAAAGAGGGGGGGAGGGGGTCTGTATATGTAGTTGAATGGACTAGTGCTAGTGAAATTGACACACTTCTAGAATTTACATTGTTATCTTGGTAAAAATTATGGATTCTCCGGCAAATAACTTAATTTTTGCATAGATAGGCTATTTTTGATCAGATCAAGAAGGAGATTAATCGAGGTGCGTATAAGTTAACTCGAACACTTCTAATCGTTGAACCAAAAAAAATAATCGATTCTAATACTGAATAATTTTTGGCTTGCTGGTGATGGGTAATCACACAGCTCCAGCCACGTTAAAAAATTCTTCAATAATTGAACCAGTGTTCGGCAAGATATTTTGATAAGGCGCTGAAAATTTTCTCTTGGATAAGACCCTACCCTATCTCGTCTTCATTTTGTTGATTTATGGAGGTTGGAAACACCACAAAGCTATATATGTGAATAACGCCAAAAGGAACAACCAATAAGGATCAAAAATTTATTTTCATGCATTGTTTTGATCACTTAAATAATAGAAATATTTCGTAAATGTCTAATACACATTTTGGAAAACTAGATGCAGATGGAGAAAAATTTTAGAAGTTTGTTCCTAAAACATTTCAATAAATTGGTTGAAACACCTCGAAATATTGAAATTGTAATATTCAGTTGCTATTTCTTTTTAATTTACGCAAAAAATAGGAAATTTTCTGCTATTTTAAAATAAAATTTTGATCTTGACAATCAATGTGGATTGCTATATTTATAATAATAACATATTTCTCACTGATTTGAGAAAGACAGCTCCCAAATTTGAGAAAGAAGGCTCCCAAATTGCTATAATTATAATAATAACATACTTCTCATTGATTTGAGAAAGACAGCTCCCAAATTGTCTAGTTTTTCTTTTGCTTATTATTTGTGGCTGTACAAGGGGATGAATCATGGCCATTTTAGCTGCGGTGGCTATGCCATGCGAGAACAAAATGCAACCACAGCTCATCGAACTATTCAGAAGATATTTCGTGGATCTTTCAGCAACATGCTTCACGCCTTCTCATAATTGCTAGTTGCTCTTTTTTTTTTAATTTATAATTTATACTATTAAAGTATACACATAAGTACTCTTTTTCTTTTACTAATTATTTATTGTACAAGTCTCTCGTGCTCTTGATGATATTATGCTCTGTTACTTGTTGTAATTTAAAAGCAGATTTATCGTAATCTGATTATTGCGATTTCTCATCAATTATGGGTTTAATTGTGCACGCTTACTCTACAAAATGGGTTAAGAGTTAATTCTACCCATGGATATCTTATAAATTGGTTAAAGAGAGTAAGTTCGAGTTGAAAGTTGCCTTACAGGTTGGATTAAAATGCTTTGTTATTAGCTATGGGTACAACTCAACTAATTTTCACTTTGTGTAGAAGAACATGACTTTCATCTATCGTAATGTATTATTCTAAAACAACGTAGCAAACTCACATCAACCACCATGGCTCTTTTAGAAAATCTCATTTCTAATGGGATGATGATTAGTTGAGGTTTTACCCCCAACGCATAGGGTTTTTACATAGTATTTTTATGCAAAAAATGTGAATAACGTTTTTAACATAAAAACGTCAAATCAATTTACATTTTTTGCTTGCACTATAGGCCATTTACAAGACCTAAAATCGTCAACGAAAACGTCATTTATACCGACTTTTTTGTTTACGCTAGAGCTAGAGGGAAAAGTCAATGAGGGAATGTGACAGGTTGTTGAGAAGTAGGTTCTACATTGCTGCCGTGTTAGCTAGGTCATTTGGTTGTCGTTGCATTTCAATGTCAGTGGTATAGAAGGTAACATGGCGCGGAAAATGTATGAGTTTTATTTATTTTGTAAAAATATTATTTAAATTTAATTTGAGAATTTAATCGGGATCTCCTGCATACGTGGTTGTTTTAACCATCATTTTGTTATTTGGTCTTTAATAATGAATACATCATAGATTTGGTTTTTATTTTCTTTACGACACAAAACTGACGTATATAATTGAATTTGGTACAACAAAATTGATTTGGTATCACGTATATATAATATTTTTTTAAATATTATTCTTACAGAAATCTCATATCGGAACTCCATTAATTTGATGTTGAAGTGTTTAAACTAATCAAATATCTTTTAATTTATTTTTCCATTTATTATGGTTGTATCAAAGGATGTGAGAAGTCTCGTGTTTTTTATGATCTTATGCTCTGTTACTTGTTGTAATCTAAAAACAGTTTCATCGTAATCTAATTTTTGCGATTCCACATCAATTATGGGTTTAATTGTGCACGCTTCCGCTACAAAATAGGTTAAGAGTTAATTCTATCCATCGGTTTCTTATAAATTGGTTACGGAGGGTAAGTTCGAGTTTTTTTTTTTGGTCGGTCAAGAAAAAAAGATACAGCAACCAACACAAAAAATAAGCCAACAAACAACAAGAAACAACCAAATAACAAAACAAAAAATCAACCAATACCCTCTCTTGCTTCCTTTTGTACAAGTCTTTGCAACTGCTCCGAAGGATTAACCACCCATTGTGGGGACAAGTTGTGCTTTCTAACCTGAGTTGTAACCAGGTGAGCTAATTGATTAGCTTGTCGATTCACAAAATGAAATCTGTTCGAAGGAATTTTACTGGCATAAAACCAAATATCCTTTGAAAGGTCTCAACCTCTTGTATCAAAGAAGTTGGGCCTCGGTGGAGAGCTTCAATCAGCACCTTAGAGTCAGATTCAACAATAACTTCGTGAAAATTCTCAACAACTGCCATAGCGCAGGCACACCGAACAGCCCATGCTTCTGCAGATAAAGCTGAAGAGGCACGCATTGTTCCAGCTGCTCCAGTGATCAGAGTTCCCATTTGGTCACGCACCACAACTCCAAACAAAGCTTGTCTACTGCTTTAAAAAAAAGCTCCATCACAATTAAGCTTAAGCCAACCTGGTGGAGGCAGGTTCCATACCCGCTGAGCACTTACTTTGTCCATGCTCAAATGGCTTTTGCATACCCCTGCTCTGAAAAACTTCAGATGCAGCAACAATTGCTCTCTCCACAACATTAGAGGAAGTCAACAGCTGATGGTTAAACACCTACTCATTCCTGCTTTCCAAATAAACCATAGCAAGAAAACAAGCAATGTCTGTCTATTTGGATCCTCTACTCCCCAATTTCCATTTATCTCCAACTGTTCCATTAATCAAGTCTCCATTCTCAATATTTTGTGTCTATCCACCCTCAGTTTTAAGGGAGACTTTAACCATACTTCTTCCACCCACGGACACAACAAAAACAAATGTTCAATAGGCTCCTCCACACCCCCACATATAGGACAAATTGGACTGTGCGACACTCGTCTTTTCCATAAACTTTCCTTTGTAGCCAAAGCCCCATTGCCACTTTCCAAACAAAAGATTTAAATTTCTGGGTAGCAGTCAGCTTCCATAATTCTCTTGGAGGGATAAAAGACGAAGAGGCCTTTGATGTAGGACTGCATCTTCTCTGCTGATGAACTTGAAAATGATACCCACTCTTTACAGAATACATCCCATCCCTAGTGTGAACCCATCTTATTCTATCATCCTGCTCTGTTTCACACAGTGGAATAGAAAGAATCGGTGGTAAAAATTGTGGGGGAAATGTTTGTTGAATAACCTCTTGATTCCACCTTTTCGTAGGTACATGGATTAACTCTTGGACCCTCAAGAGATTTGCACTGCAACAAATTTACAATATTTCGATATCTTGGAACCCACGGATCCTCCCAATATTTCGAGTTGAAATTTGCCTTACAGGTTGGATTAAGATGCTTTGTTATTACAACTCAACTAATTTTCACTTTTTTTCTTTTGATGGTAAACTAATTTTTACTTTTTGTAGAAGATGACTTTCATCTATCTATCGTAGTGTATTATTCTAAAACAACGTAACAAACTCACATCAACCACCATGGCTTTTTTAGAACATCTCATTTCCAATGGGATGATCATTAGTTGGACTCCCATGGTTTTTTTTAAACTTCCCAGGGCACAAATTGACTGTCAAACGTGTAATTTCACAGTTATAAAGTCAAATTCTAGATATACTGGACAATAACTCTTACCAAATAATAATACAAACCAATTTCTTCAAAGCATAGCAAATTAAAACAATACTGATTTATGAATTTAAGGATAGATCTTAGCATAATAATTAGATTGTTCTATTATGACTTTTAAGTTAAGGATTCGTCGAGTCATAAAAATATTTTTTTTGCATGTAAAGTTATGACCGCATATATTTAACTTGGAGAAGTCTACGATACCGAAATTATTTTTCTCAATACCGTACCGCTATTACAACTTTCGTAGTTAATTTTTTAGGGTCATTTTGTAAATTTTGATATCATATTATATTTTTTATGGTTTAAATTATAAATTTGTGAGTTATTTATAATTTTTATGAGTTACTTTAAAAGTGTAAAATAAAAAATTTTACGTCTCTCAGAGTACAAAGTATGGTTCCCCCTACCGTGATGACACCATTTTTGCGGATCATAAATTATGTGGACATTATTTAACATTCCGCTTTCGTAGTTGTCCAATTAAGTGGATGCCTTATTTGGGCCATCACATCATGGGCTTCGATTTGGGCCCAATTTCACAATCTTCACATTGGTTCCCCTTTTTGTTCCTTTGATCGTACCTTCTTAACTCCTCCTCCGAGGCAAAAACACACAGTAGTTCCCAAACCCCAAACAGTGAAAATTACCAAACCGGTGGCCCTAGCTTCAGATCAGACTATGGCTTCTCTGGACACAGACGTCACTATGGTGCCAGCCGGCGAGGGTTCGAGCGGCGCTGGGCCGTCTTCTTCAAAAGCCTCAACCTCTTCATCGGCCAAAAAGGCCAAGCGATTCGAGATCAAGAAGTGGAACGCCGTCGCTCTTTGGGCTTGGGGTAACGAACAAAAAACTCTAACCCTAGTTCATCATATACGTGTACATGCATAGATGATAATGTTTATATCCTATATATTCATATGTGTGCCTATATATCTATATCGTTGTGTAATTTCGTATGTTTTTTATTTGTGGTTGCAGATATTGTTGTGGATAACTGTGCGATCTGTAGGAACCATATCATGGATCTCTGTGAGTTGTAACGTTTTCTTGTGTTTTTTTCTTTAATTTGATCTCAGTAACTTAATTTGTTTGGTTCCATTATTTTATGATTATTTTCTGTAAGCAATTTTGTTACATATCCTTTCTGTGATTTGTCAATTTTTAATTTTTTGTTAACTAAAACAATTTGATTAGGTATTGAATGTCAAGCTAATCAAGCCAGTGCCACTAGTGAGGAATGTACGGTTGCTTGGGGTATGCATCGTCTCTAAAACCCTGATTTTTCGTGGTTTTCTTGATTGGTGTCTCAAATTAATTATAATTAATCACTTAGTTTGATGTTCTGCATACTGAGCTACTGTTTATGTTCTGTTAATGAGTTTACTGTTTATTTTGTTGTGTTTTGGAATAAATTCATGTGGTTGCTGGCTTTATGCTAAGTAATAAGTTGCCAAATAGGTTTAGTGTTAAATAAGTTAGTGCCAAACAAGTTATTGCTTTGCTCATCTAAATTAAAAAAGAAAGATAGTTGGATCCTTTTGGTTTAAGTGTAGAAGTTGGAAGGCACAGAGGTAATGTATTTCTTGTCCATTTACCTTCAGTTGCCAATTTGGATTGACACGGGGAAATTTCTAGTCTCCTTTTTGTACAGCATCTGCCTCATTATCAATAGGGTTGTAAGCCTTACTAGTTCAACTCTAAATTTGTTAGTTGCCAATTACAATATCTTTTAGGTGGATCTTAATTTCTATTATGAGAAAGCAAGTCACTTATTCAAGGATGATTGTTTGGCGTTACTGAGCTCAATGAAGCTACTTCCATGTCATGGAACATGAGTTGAATGATTCTCATGAACTTTGTTTATTTTTAATTTTACCTATGATGTATTGTGCCTCAGGTTATTAAAACAAATGAGATTTTGACCAACTACATGGCCTGCTAGTTGGCTGATACTGTTGTAGCATGCTCCAACTGTTTCTTTCTTCTTCAATTCTTACTCTTCTTCTTGATGTTTGAGGGATTGTTTTTGTTTCTTTTACGGTTCTTATTACTCTTCTTGAGTGAAAGAGTTGCTTAATATTTCCAAAAACTAACACTGGCTCCTGCTCAATTGATTTTCTTAGTACTCCTTACTATCTGAGAACCTGAGCCTGAAGATTAAGCATGTCCAGTGCAATTGATGTTTTCACACTTAAAAACTATGGATGTTTTTTAGAGCTACTGTTTTATTCTTTAAGCTGGTAACTGGTATTTATAATCTGTTGGTGGTGTTTCTTTGACCTGAAATTAGTGGAGTGATAGTTTACAGTCTTGGAGACGTACTAAAAAGTTGTAACCAACCATATAGTCAATGGACAAAATTTGTCTCTTTCTTCTATCATTTTGGGGTTTTTCTTTGGTATCTCATCTGTCAGTGGATTTAATTGGTGAAGGATTTAATTGAAGAATGTTCACCATTTAGTTTGTGGATCCAGAGTGATGAAGCGTCTCTATGACATCAACCCTTATTGCAAGGCATTCAATTTGAGACAGCTTGTCAAGACTCAAGTGATAAATCTGGTGAAAACTGACTAATATATAGCCTGGGCAATAGATTTTAATCGACTCTATGAATGTCCCTTGCCATTTAAAATACATGGAATCTAATCAAGTTATTAAGGCCACTGTAATATTGTGAATCTATTTCCTGCGGTGGCCAAATAATGGGTGTCTTGATCATCAAATGGAGATAACTGTTAGAGCATTCAACTTGAAATCAATTGACAGTGGTTGGAGTAGCCTGTCGAAATATATCAACGAACATTGGGTGTGCATACCATTTCAATGGCCAATACAAATAGCTCTATTCATACTCTCTCTCATGGTTTGCATGCGGGTTAACAAAATGAACTAAAACAGGCCTACAAATAGACTGGATTGTAGACAGATATGAGGCCGCTTCTTAATTATCCAAATATAACATTGACATTGTCTCATTGTATTGTGGACAAGATCTCGCTGGTATCGCAGTGAAATTTTTTCTAGAAACTCAACATGAAAAAGTTAGCTGGTTGATGTAATTTATGGATTTATTCCCTTCTTATAATGTTACCTGTTAATTATAAATGCTTACTTATTTATCATGTAGTTTTAGGGGTTGTTAGTTTAACAATTAAGAAATGGTTATTCTTATAATCTTGTGAAGTTTCAAAACATAAGTGATGGTCAATTAGGAAATGAATGCTAAAATTTACAAATTCTTTATGTACAAGTGAAACCTCTTAGACACATCTGTCCTAGAATAATTGCATTTCTTTCCCTCTGTTTCACAGCACATCAACTCTTTAAAGTTTCTATAGCATTCTGGATCTCATCTGTGATGATTACCTTATCATCCAACTCCTGGTTGAATTCCACTGGGAACATTGATCAGCTACGATGTGTTTCTCTTGGACTTACAATTCAGTCTTTAGGAGAATGACTCCTGTGAAATATCTGTTATGTGGTCGGGTCTTGATTATGTTCTGTCCAATGATTTTGTATCAATTAGTTAATTGACGATCTGATGACTGGTATTGTGGCTTCTGTAGGGGTTTGCAACCATGCATTCCACTTCCACTGCATTAGCCGATGGCTCAAGACTCGCCAAGTGTGCCCATTAGGTATTTTCTCTGCCCCTCCTTGCTTGTCTCTATGTCTATGACTACTATAATACATTGCATCAAGATGTGTGTTTGTTGCTAACTGTTTTTCCGTACACTCACATCCTTTGTGATTGTTTTTGTTTTACAGATAACAGTGAGTGGGAGTTTCAGAAGTATGGTCACTAGAACCTGCACAATCAAACAACTGGGTCCCGTCTCTTTCTGCATTGGTGACTTTTTCAGTGGAAGACTTGCACTATGTCTTCAGCTATAACCCTTGAATGTTTCCATATGCAAATATTGTCTTATAATAGTATGATGTTTTGTATCATTTTCTTGAACATTATGCACTAGTCCAGTTGCTTTACCTGCAAACAGTTTGAATGGGTATCTGTTGAATTTCTTTTCTAAATGCTTGCTATTTCCTGTGTCATGCTTGGAATTCGGTTCTTTTCAGCCAAAAGATCCCCCTGGAATTATAGGGTTGGTCCGCAATTGAGCAACACTGATTGTATGCTGCAGAAGATGGAAGAATGTCTGCTGTTTTTCACCATTTTTGGAGTGGAACAGAACATCATTATCATGGGGGTAAGACTTGAACTCATGTGGTTTGTGCGAGGGAATCCCTTCCTTCGACAAACCAACCATGAGAAGTGGTGGTCGTGGCTTTTTCTGTCACAAAGACGACCAGAATGACAAAATTCACGGAAAGCTCACCCTACAATAATGGTAGGCACTGTTTTCTTGACCTCAGATGTCAATGGAGGCTTAACTGAAGCCGGCATGCTCTAATCTCCATGGCTGGTTCCATATAATTTGTTATTAATCACCACCTTAAAAAACTTATATTTCTTGTAGCATATGGACTATGAGGTTCATCCTTTGTCTTCTTATTTGAGTGTCATCTATGCATCATTGGGACATCATTACGCGATCAGCTATTGAGTTTGTTGTCAAAATTCAATCTTTTTCATTGTAATGCAAATGCATATTTGTAAAATATATTTTCAAAATTCTCTATTGAAATTATATTAAAAAAATTTCAAAAATCACTATAATTTTCCTCATCAAGCCATAACCCTTTCTTTTCCTTCTCAATGTTACATGTGCCACCGCATAGAATAATTCTCGTGCAATAGATAATGTCGATAGGCTACCTTGGAGCACTTATCCTAATTCTACTCTAAGCTATATGGTCTATACACTCATTTGCATGGATGTTAGGTTCCTTTGGTGGTGTTGTGATAGGTGTGAGCGGTGATTTTTGCACTATAAATAAAAAGACAATTCTCTCCCTCGGTGAACCCAAGATTACTCAAAAAGTCGACGATCTGCAGGTAAATGAGCACCAAAGATGGTCTAAGGAGTGGTGATGAATTATTTTACAAGCTATTTGATTGATTTCAACGAGCCGAAGATGCTTCTTAGCACTCAAAAAAGAGATTAAAAGGGTGTCGAAGTGTTTTTCACCGACGGTCATGTCAATTTGTGAGAGGAGAAAGAAAAAACACTGTTTTGTGTTCTGAGATGAGATTGTGTACCTCTATTCTCAATTTTTGAGAGTTATTTATATGTTTCATAGAGGTCATCATTAATGGTAGGTGGGCCCTTTAAGGGAGAGATCTACATTGGCCCATTTGGAAAGCTGCAAGTGAGGGTGACCAATTCTTGGACAAAACACTTCCTGCCTTATGTGGAAGGTCAATCAATGTTAAATGTTCAGGCTCCGAGCACTCGATGCTCTTCCATCGAAGCTTTGTGGATGATAAACACGTCACATCCCTCTGAAGGATTATTAAATGCTCTTATGTGATGGTTGCACACTGACAGAGGCATCCTTGTACATTGGCTTTTAACTCTGTACCCTATGCTATGTGTTCAATTCTATGTGGCTATTGGTCGTATCCTTTTTACTATTTTGTCTTCTTTGAGAGAGCAAGTTGATGATGAGTTGTAATCTCTAGTGACGATAGTTATCAATTATCCCCATATGTCTCGAGGTTCTGGAACCGAGATGACGTCAAAGTGTAGACCCTTGGGATCCGTTTGGTAAGAATGATGAAAAATTTGAAGGATAGCAGGATAGAAAGTTGGAAGGAATATATTTTTTCTCATTATGTTTGGTATGATGGATGAAAAATTGAAGAGATGCATTTTCTTTTATTTGGTATTGGATGAAAAATTGGATGGAAAGGAAAAAATATGTATACCAAATTTACCATTATACCCTCACATATAATTACATGAATAAGATTAAAGAAAATAAACTAAAATGCATAATATTTTTTTGTAAGTATATAATATTTAAACCCCCTAAAGTTTATAAGTATATAATATTTAGACCCTTTTTAAGTTTAAAATATTATACTTATATAAAAAATACTTCAATCAAAGATGAAATATTAAATATTTCAAATTTTACAACTAAAATTTATGTTCTATTGTATCATTTATTGAAATAAAATCAAAAATAAAATTTACTTATAAAGAAAATTCTTCATTTAATTATTTAATGTGTTTTAGAAATTATATGTATTTTTTTCATTATATACATTTAATTATTAATTCTTCCATTACATATACAAAAGTGGGCTCAAGGGAATAGAGTGGTAGGTAAAATAGTCAATTCACAAAAAAAACTCATCTTCCCTCCATTTTCAGTCCATTTTTCGCCCATTTTTGGGGGAAAAATGTTTTTTGGGTTCAAGGAAAAGCATTTCCCTTCCATTTTTTATTCCCTCCTGTTTTCCTTCTATACCAAACAATGAAAAGATTTTCCTTCTCTCTCACTTTCCTTCCTCCATTTTTCATCCTCCCTATTTTCCCTCCAACCAAACAGGGGGGTGGGGAGAATAACCTGCACAGAGGATACGTGTCACAATATGGGAAATGGATGTGATCTCGGTGTCGAAGACACAAGGTAGCACACTAAGTTCCTGATGTCATTGGTGCTAAAGACACGTGGCAGCACACTAAGGTCCTAATGTCATCGGTACCGAGAACACATGGCAGCACCCCCCCAGCTGATGCCCTCGATGCCGAGAACACATGGCAACACCACAAGCTCCTAATGACCTCGGCGCCGAGGACACGTGACACCTCCAAGTTCCTGATGTTCTCGAAACTGAAGACACATGTCAAAATTCCAAGTAATGATGACTTCGATGTCAAGGACACACGTCAGTCTTCGGTGGAGTCTCAAAATTGTCCCATCAATAGGTTAGAAGTGCATCCTTCAAAATTTATTATTGGTTTTTTCTTTTGGTGAGTGTTATGAGGTTTATTTGGCGATACCAATTAAGAATTTTTTTTATTTTTTTTTTTCATAATAGGGACTTTGGCATAATATTATTTCAATTGGATAATTCTTATTTTGTACTTTTCTAGAAAAGATTTGAATTTACTGTAATAAAATCTTCTAATTTTATTTAATGTTAAATCACCTTTCATTAATTTGTGTAGACTCCATATTTATTAGTGGATCCCCTAACTAGTTATGGTGGGTGATGTGCTCTTTATTGAAATCTAAAAATTTAAAATGGAAAATATTGCAATCATTCAAAAAGAAATTACTCAAATTGGCTTTCTATTTTTTTTTCTATCACTAAAAGTTATTACATAATTTGAGCAGCTCGAATTCATATCAAATTTAACTCTTTCAAAATGCAAAATGCATTGTTTTTAACTAAAATTTTAAATTTATTTAGTCAATGAGTTTGAAACTTGGAACATGAATAGTGAGTTGATCGACCTATCCTGTTGGAATATAATTTAGATTATAATTTTGATGTTGAAAATACATTCTTCTTTTTTTTTCATCTCTTCAATTTTTTATCATTTCTATCAGACATACCATTAAACATCGTCCACTTCTCCCTCACTCTGTTGAAATTGTCAAGATTTTAGTTGTTAGGATTCCTTTATTCTAGGATTTATTCCTGGATATGCTAATAACCTTCCTATACTTGAGGGGCAAGTTTGTTTTTCTATTTCTGATAAAGTCACTTACCACGATTCTAGGACCTGTATAATCGTGGGTTGTTATCTTATTTCCTGTTTGATGTAAGGCTATTTAATAGCCAAGGTTGTGTTTTAGTTCAATAAGAATTCTCCTGAGTTTACTAGTGCAATCATACTCTATTTTTCAGTAACCTAGTTCAGTTCTAACATCTGGTATCAGAGCCACATCACGAGACTTGACCAGAACCTGCAAACACAGTTACCAGTGTGAGAGAACAAGAACATGATGTCTAAGAATAGTTTTGTACAACCTGTCATACCAAGGCTCAATGGACACTATGATCACTGGAGTATGTTTATGGAGAATTTTCTGTGTTCTAAGGAATATTGGAACTTGGAAGAGATAGGAATCACTGCAAATAGCAGAAGGAGCTGATTCTAGTGACTCACAGAAGAAGGCACTGGAGGAGCAGAAGTTGAAAGACTTGAAGGCCAAGAACAATTTGTTCCAGGCCATTGATCGTTCAATCCTGGAAACGATCTTGAAGAAGGACACTGTGAAGGATATATGGGATTCCTTGAAACATAAGTATCAAGGAACAGCACGTGTGAAGCGTGCTCAATTGCAGGCGCTTCGAAAGGAGTTTGAAGTACTGCATATAAAGGCTGGGGAAACCGTCAACGACTAATTTGGAAGAACGCTCATTATAGCCAATAAGATGAGGCTTCATGGAGAAAGAATGGAGGATGTAGTGATCATTGAGAAAATTTTGAGGTCTATGACTTCAAAATATGATTATGTTGTCTGCTCGATTGAGGAGTCGAATGACTTGGATGTTTTATCCATTGATGAGCTTCAGAGCAATCTCCTCGTGCATGAACAAAGAATGAGTCGGCATGTGGAGGATGAACAAGCTCTTCAAGTAACTTCTGAAGTTCAACAACGAGGAAGAAGTGGTGGTCGTGGTTCCTATCGTGGAAGAGGAAGAGGAAGGGGTAGATTTGGGTTCGACAAATCTATCTTGGAATGTTACAATTGTCATGAGCTAGGGCATTTTCAGTGGGAATGCCCAAAGAAAGATAGGGATTCTAAGGCTAATTTTGCAAAAACAAAGGAATAAATGTTGCTAATGGCGTAGGTGGATGTTAAGGAAACTAAGATGGAGTATATTTGGTTTCTTGATTCTGGATGTAGCAATCATATGTGTGGCAGAAAGGAAGCATTTATCGAGATGGATGACAATTTTCAAGAGTCAGTAAAACTGGAAAATGATTCCAGTCTCAGTGTACAAGGCAAGGGCAAGGTGCGAATGGAGGTGCGTGGGATCGTGCATATGATTACAGGAGTCTTCTCTGTACATGAGTTGAAGAATAATTTGTTGAGTATCGATCAATTGCAAGAGAGGGGACTCGTAGTGCTCATGCAACGTGGAAGGTGTAAGATTTTTCATCCTGAGAAGGGTCTAATTCTTGAAACTGAGATGACATACAGTAGGATGTTTGCCTTGATTGCTCGCTGCTCACTAAAGAAACAAAATTGTCTCTCCATGACAACCACAGATCAAGCAAATCGTTGGCATCGTCGATATGGGCATTTAAGTTGGAATGGACTGAAAGTGCTAAAACAAAAGAATATGGTTGAAGGGCTGCCAAAGTTCAAAGATTCTCAGAAAGTGTATGAAGACTGCCTTGTGGGAAAGCAGCATCGTGATTCTGTCCTCAAGCCTCTAATATATGTGGCCAAATAAGTCCAATCTCAAATAGTAAGAAAAGATACCTCATCACTTTTATTGATGATTACAGTAGAAGAACTTGGGTTTATATTCTGGTGGAGAAATCATAAGCCTTTGTTATGTTCAAAACGTATAAAGCTAGAGTGGAGAAGGAAACAGGAGCATTTATAAGAGGCTTGAGGACAGATCGTGGAGGTGAGTTCACATCACATGAATTCACAAGTTTC